CTCGTACTGCTGTCTGCCTCAACGCTGTCCTGCCTTCTGTCCTGAGAATCGCGTCGCATGATGTGCGCCGCCGCTTTGTCCTTAAAAGCTAACAACCCCACTTGTCCGGTGGGGAACATGAGTGGGATCTGGGCGGAAGCACCATTTCGAGTACTGAAAATGCACGGACTTTGGGCGAAAGCGCGATTTGGCGTCCTCTGCGCGGCCTCTTTGCGATGCAAGTCATGTTTCGGAGCCCCCAAAAACTTTGCACCGTGCGCGACTTGGCCAAAGCACACCTGTGAACCGCAGACGCTTCGTTTGGTTGACGAATGTTTTCTGTCTTGTCCTCCATGCCCATGAAAGGACTGCCTGTCAGCCGCATCATCACACGCTTGCCCGCGTCCCAAGCACAGCTTCGGAGGGGTGGGAGGGCGTAGGCAGAGGGACTGTGTGCACGTGTTCAGGGTTTTTCGGTGTTTCAGAGGGGGTGGGAGGGCGTAGGTAGGGGGCTGGACTGTGTGCGCTTTTTGATCCTTGGATGTCGGCTCTTCCTATCATTAAGACGCAGAAGTCCCAAAGTGTCAGAGTCTTCACCCGCCAATAGGGAACGTGAGCTTCGTGAGACAGGTTAGTTTGCCCGAATGATGAACTGGATGCTGCGACAGTAAGGTCATGCGACGAAGCCATCATCTGTTGGACTGCGACTGAACGCCGCTCAGTGTTCAGGGCTTTTCGGTGCTTGGGAGGGGGTGGGAGGGCGTAGGGACTGTGTGCACGTGTTCAGGGTTTTTCGGTTTTTCGGAGAGGGCGGGAGTTCCTATCATTGAGACGCAGAAGTCCCGAAGTGTCGGATTGTTCACGCGCCAATAGGGAACATGAGCCTCGTGAGACAGGTTAGTTTGCCCGACTGATGAACTGGATGCTGCGACTGTAAGGTCATACCACGAAGCCATCATCTGTTGGACTGCGACTGAACGCCGCTCAGTGTTCAGGGCTTTTCGGTGCTTCGGAGGGGTGGGAGGGCGTAGGTAGGGGGCTGGACTGTGTGCACGTGTTCAGGGTTTTTCGGTGTTTCGGAGGGGGTGGGAGGGCGTAGGTAGGGGGCTGGACTGTGTGCGCTTTTTGATCCTTGGATGTCGGCTCTTCCTATCATTAAGACGCAGAAGTCCCAAAGTGTCAGAGTCTTCACCCGCCAATAGGGAACGTGAGCTTCGTGAGACAGGTTAGTTTGCCCGACTGATGAACTGGATGCTGCGACAGTAATCGAAATCAGTGCGAAAGGAACACTTCCTTCAGATACTTGGTTCATGTGACTCATGTGGCCAGCTGGAAAGGTCCTACCACGAAGCCATCATCTGTTGGACTGCGACTGATCGCCTCGGGGTGGGAGGGAGTAGGTAGGGGGCTGGACTGCGTGCGTTTTTTGATCCTTGGCTGTCGGCTCTTCCTATCATTGAGACGCAGAAGTCTCGAAGTGTCGGACTGTTCACCCACCAATAGGGAGCGTGAGCTGGTTTAGCACGTCGTGACAAGCGCCTGTGATAAGTTTGTGATAAGTTTGAAGGTCTTGTAGCTTTTGGGTCCCAGAGGGTTTAGGATTCATGAGCCATATTTTTTTGAACTATGGGGCCTCCCTGCTCCGTTTTCGCTATGCGGGCTTCGTCCTTTCAAAATCCATGCAAAGACAAGCACCCGTGGTGCCTGTGAAAATCAAAGTTTGAAGATCTTGTAGCTTTTGGGTCCCAGAGGGTTTAGGATTCATGAGCCATATTTTTTTGAACTATGGGGCCTCCCTGCTCTGTTTTCGCTATGCGGGCTTCGTCCTTTCAAAATCCATGCAAAGACAAGCACCCGTGGTGCCTGTGAAAATCAAAGTTTGAAGATCTTGTAGCTTTTGGGTCCAAAAGGGTTTAGGATTCATGAGCCATATTTTTTTGAACTTGTAGCTTTTGGATCCAAAAGGGTTTAGGATGCATGAGCCATACTTTTGGGAACTATGGGGCCTCCCTGCTCTGTTTTCGCTATGCGGGCTTCGTCCTTTCAAAATCCATGCAAAGACAAGCACCCGTGGTGCCTGTGAAAATCAAAGTTTGAAGATCTTGTAGCTTTTGGATCCAAAAGGGTTTAGGATTCATGAGCCATATTTTTTTGAACTATGGGGCCTCCCTGCTCTGTTTTCGCTATGCGGGCTTCGTCCTTTCAAAATCCATGCAAAGACAAGCACCCGTGGCGCCTGTGAAAATCAAAGTTTGAAGATCTTGTAGCTTTTGGACCCAAAAGGGTTTAGGATTCATGAGCCATATTTTTTTGAACTCTGGGGCCTCCCTGCTCTGTTTTCGCTATGCGGGCTTCGTCCTTTCAAAATCCATGCAAAGACAAGCACCCGTGGTGCCTGTGAAAATCAAAGTTTGAAGATCTTGTAGCTTTTGGATCCAAAAGGGTTTAGGATGCATGAGCCATATTTTTTTGAACTCTGGGGCCTCCCTGCTCTGTTTTCGCTATGCGGGCTTCGTCCTTTCAAAATCCATGCAAAGACAAGCACCCGTGGTGCCTGTGAAAATCAAGTTTGTAGCTTTTGGATCCAAAAGGGTTTAGGATGCATGAGCCATATTTTTTTGAACTATGGGGCCTCCCTGCTCTGTTTTCGCTATGCGGGCTTCGTCCTTTCAAAATCCATGCAAAGACAAGCACCCGTGGTGCCTGTGAAAATCAAGTTTGTAGCTTTTGGATCCAAAAGGGTTTAGGATGCATGAGCCATATTTTTTTGAACTCTGGGGCCTCCCTGCTCTGTTTTCGCTATGCGGGCTTCGTCCTTTCAAACTCCATGCAAAGACAGCACCCCCGTGGTGCCTGTGAAAATCAAAGTTTGAAGATCTTGTAGCTTTTGGATCCAAAAGGGTTTAGGATTCATGAGCCATATTTTTTTGAACTATGGGGCCTCCCTGCTCTGTTTTCGCTATGCGGGCTTCGTCCTTTCAAAATCCATGCAAAGACAAGCACCCGTGGCGCCTGTGAAAATCAAAGTTTGAAGATCTTGTAGCTTTTGGACCCAAAAGGGTTTAGGATTCATGAGCCATATTTTTTTGAACTCTGGGGCCTCCCTGCTCTGTTTTCGCTATGCGGGCTTCGTCCTTTCAAAATCCATGCAAAGACAAGCACCCGTGGTGCCTGTGAAAATCAAAGTTTGAAGATCTTGTAGCTTTTGGATCCAAAAGGGTTTAGGATGCATGAGCCATATTTTTTTGAACTCTGGGGCCTCCCTGCTCTGTTTTCGCTATGCGGGCTTCGTCCTTTCAAAATCCATGCAAAGACAAGCACCCGTGGTGCCTGTGAAAATCAAGTTTGTAGCTTTTGGATCCAAAAGGGTTTAGGATGCATGAGCCATATTTTTTTGAACTATGGGGCCTCCCTGCTCTGTTTTCGCTATGCGGGCTTCGTCCTTTCAAAATCCATGCAAAGACAAGCACCCGTGGTGCCTGTGAAAATCAAGTTTGTAGCTTTTGGATCCAAAAGGGTTTAGGATGCATGAGCCATATTTTTTTGAACTCTGGGGCCTCCCTGCTCTGTTTTCGCTATGCGGGCTTCGTCCTTTCAAAATCCATGCAAAGACAAGCACCCGTGGTGCCTGTGAAAATCAAAGTTTGAAGATCTTGTAGCTTTTGGATCCAAAAGGGTTTAGGATTCATGAGCCATATTTTTTTGAACTCTGGGGCCTCCCTGCTCTGTTTTCGCTATGCGGGCTTCGTCCTTTCAAAATCCATGCAAAGACAAGCGCCCGCGGTGCCTGTGAAAATCAAAGTTTGAAGATCTTGTAGCTTTTGGATCCAAAAGGGTTTAGGATTCATGAGCCATATTTTTTTGAACTATGGGGCCTCCCTGCTCCGTTTTCGCTATGCGGGCTTCGTCCTTTCAAAATCCATGCAAAGACAAGCACCCGTGGTGCCTGTGAAAATCAAGTTTGTAGCTTTTGGATCCAAAAGGGTTTAGGATGCATGAGCCATATTTTTTTGAACTCTGGGGCCTCCCTGCTCTGTTTTCGCTATGCGGGCTTCGTCCTTTCAAAATCCATGCAAAGACAAGCACCCGTGGTGCCTGCGAAAATCAAGTTTGTAGCTTTTGGATCCAAAAGGGTTTAGGATGCATGAGCCATACTTTTTCGACGCCGGATTTATTTATGAGTGAGAAGGTATCCTAGCAACACCGAGTTGAGGAGTCAGAAGGTATCCTAAACTTAGACAAAGCGCTGTGAGGCCGGAACAGGTAACCCAAATGTCCCAGCATTGTGGAGACGCGCGAGGCAACCTCAACAGCATGGCACTGTTTTAGAGACCCCTGCCCCAAGTCAAAAGCAATTGACGCGATTTAGGAGGCTTTGCCATCCAGTCTTGTGGCAGCAAGGGAATGGACGCGATTTCGGAGGCCCTGCGCAAACAACAAGCTAATGATTTTGGGGCGGCAGTAAAACAAAACCCTGGGGCTCGCCTTCCAAGGGAGGGAATCTTTTTTCCAGTGCAAGCATCGGTCGGCAGCCAGATTGTGAAGAGAGTCGGAAACTGCACCCTTCTTCGGCCTCCAGCTTCCTTGAAAGGCGCTTTCCAGGGTTTTGTTTTCCTCCGGGGTTTCCGGGGGAAGCTAAAGGGGCGAGCGCCCTTGTGTGATGAACTCGAGACCAGAACATTGCACGTCCGACGTGTGAGCAGTAACGCAGCTTGGAGGGGAGGGTGTAAACAGGTTTGGTCAGGTTCAAAGCCGGATTACACCAACACCGTGTTTGGAGAATGTTTCAGAGCCAGACGCTGCTGTGGCTGCGAGCAAGTTGCGCCGGAAGTTTTTTGGCTCCTGCAAGGCACTTGGCGGCTGTGTGAGGGTTTGCGGAATGGAGGGAGAACTGCCTGTAGAAGGCGATGTCGCGAGAAGGGCCGAAGCAAGGCCTTCGCAGCCGGCTGCGCAGGAGCGGTCGTGTAACCCGGTTGTGGGAGTTATAAGAACTAAGTGGGTTCTGAAGCCGACAATGGGTGTCAGTTTACCGCCCCTACTGTTGCTACTTGCACATGGTCCCGTGCAGTATTGCGAATGAAGGCGCTTTTCGATACCCATCTTTTGGTAGAGGTCCACCAAGAGCTCTGCGTCAGCTTTTTCACACCCTGCTCCCGGATGTTGCGTTTGACATGCTCGAGGCTTCGGACCAACTGGAAATCTTGGCCAAAAAAATCCACAAAGGCCTTAACCAAAGCAGGGCCACCATCAATGTGAGCGACTGATGCTTTCCGCAAGCCATCGCCTAGATGCTCACGCACATGTGCATCTAGGCTGTCAAGGAGCAATCGAACCGCCACGTGGTTTTCGCTGGGCGCCAACGCGAAACCAAGCAGCACAAATGTGGTTTCGATGCTCTGACGGGGGACATGCTGCGCCAACCAACCAACAGCAATCAGTTTGATGCGGCTGTTGGAGATGTCGTGGGTACCATCGCACGCCAATCGCAACCCATGCTCCATCAATGTCTCCCAGTGCTCCACCAGGAGGCTGACATAAAAGTCCGTTGTATAGCAAAAAATACCGGCACTTTCGTCCACCTCGAGCACCCGACAATGCCAGGGTTCCGTGGCTCCCCTCTTCTTCACTGACTGCACGTAGCCAAGTGCGTGCGTGCGTGCGTGCGTGCGTGCGTGCGTGCGTGCGTGCGTGCAAAAGATAGGTCTCGCGCAAAACTTGACTCCACAAGGCTTGCACGTTGCTGTTTCGGTGTTTCGTTAGTGTGTGTCACAACTAAAAGATGGTTTCGCGCAAAGTCCCTTTCGATGTGCGCAAAATTTGCGAAAAAAATAGGTGCGGCATGGTGTTTTAAGGCTTCAAGAGGGGGCTTGAAGCTCCAATCATTTCGTCTTCCCCTTGCGTCACCAGGCGCTGGCATGTGCATGCAGGGTGCTCGTCAGCCCCAGGGGCCTCCGTATGCGCCAACTCCTGGGTCCTCCGCAAGGGGAACCCTGGAGTATGAATCGGTTTTCTCTAACGGCGGGGCGGGGCCCGCCGGGCTTTGGAGTTCGCGGTTGCCAAACCGCTCGCCGCAACCCGCAGGTCGCGACTACTTGACATGGACCCCGATCGCCGGCCCCGAAGGGGCGATCGGGAAACAAAAATTGAGTCTCATGCCTCCTCCTCCGCCGGTTCTCGGATCGGTCACCCCCTGTCCGCCTATACGCCTCCGCCGTGTATTCTGCTTGTGTGCTTTAGTTTTTGTGCCTTTCAAGTCCATTCTGCTTGTGTGCTTCAAATGAATTGTGCCTGTGTGCTTCAAATTGGTGCCTTTGAAGTCCATTCTGCTTGTCTGCCTTAAATTGGTGCTTTCGAAGCATTCTGCTTGTGTGTTTCGAATTGTGAAAAGCAGAGCTCGCGCAGCAGTCTCTTTTTCACTCAGCACTTGAGCCAAACACCGAAGTGTTCAGCAAGGTTCGGTTCTTGCGACCAGCTCTCTCCAAGAGCTAAGGGCTTCACAACTACAAATTCCTTGTCAATGTGTAGCAAAAATATCACGCAAAGACTTTGGTTTACACCTCGGGACTTACTAACAGCAAGACAGCGAAGCTCCAGAGTTCACTCTGCACCACATCCTACACGTCGAACACTTGTTGTGTTTTTTGGGCTTTGCGTTTGGGGTTTTATTCATTGACCTCTCTGCTACAACGGGCTTCCTGTGATGCACTGCACCCGACAAGTTCGACATCAGGCTGAAAGTAACTCCACTACCGACAACGGGGTTCCTTGGTGGAACTGAGGAGTGTCTGGACCCTGAAGGTCTCTCATAAGGAGGCTCAGCCCCTCTCCTGCCTCTCTCACGAAGCATTCCGGTTCACCCTCGCCTATGTTGTAGAAGTTCGAGAACTGTGCGTCATCCTGTGACGGTGAGTTTTGCAGTTTGCAGTTTTGTGTGCACAGCTTGGAGTCTGCTCAGCTTTTGAAGTTTTCCCAGTGGCCTGAGTACGATTGGCGGTGCAGGAACGCTTTGCCTCAAAGGGAACCACTCTCGTCGAGTTTCGTGACTTGAGGGTAGTTTTGGAGGTCTTTTAAGCCGAGCTGTCAAGTTGGAGAGCTGTGATACGTTTTCCACTTTGGCTCAAGTGACGAGCACTGGTGTGAGTGCTGCAAGCCAAAACAGAAGTGTTGTCCGAGTGTCTGAGCTTGCTTGCTTGGTTTGGACTTGTGTGAGTTGGCTTGGTTGTATCCTTGGTGCCTTGCTTAGCATCTCGGGTTTTTAACGTGGTAGGGGAGCGTGGAAGCTCTGTTGCAAAGAAAGAAAGTGAGCCCAATACGCTGACTTGGTGTGTGCTTGAGTTGTCTTGGTTTGGAGGGCCGTGGAAGGCCATCGTACTACCACATAGGTGAGGGTGAACCCCGAATGCTTCGTGAGAGAGGCAGGAGAGGGGCTGAGCCTCCCTATGAGAGGCCTTCAGGGTCTAGACACTCGTCACTTCCACCAAGGAACCCCGTTGTCGGCAGTGGAGTTGCTTTCAGCCCGATGTCGAACTTGTCGGGTGTAGTGCATCCCACAGGAAGCCCGGTGGTTAGTTCTCCGACTGCTATGGGCACCCCCATACCGGCAATGGCTTCACCCATGTCACCACCAGGTTTGGTACCACCACCGCCTGCAGCAGTGGACCCCGTTGCCGTTCAGGCAGCCCTGGGATCCCAGCTTTTGGTTCAGACAGTGCAGCAGCAGCAGCAGATATCTCAAATGATGTCGCTGGTGCAGCAGCTGGTCCAGGACCGGACAAGTGCTGAGAAGAAAGGCAAGGGAGCTGGTAGCTTGAGTAGCATCAGTGACAGTGTGGACCATGCCATGGAGGTTGATGATGGGAACGGCGCTCCTATCAGGAATCCTAAGGCAGACTCATATGTGCCGAAGTTGCCCATGTTGGATGGTGGACGCATGAACAAGGGTCGGCGTGCCGAGATCGAAGCATGGGTTGAGTACCTTGAAGTGTTTTTGCCATGGATTGCTTTGTTTGATGATAGGATACCGTCGGAAGTGCAGGCTTGTTTTGTGAAAGACAAGCCAATCTTGAACAAAGACTTGGCGAAAGGAGAGAGCATTAGGAGTACCAGAGTGTTCCTTTACCTTCGGCAATCCTTTGCGAACTTTTCCCGTGGGCTTGACATTTTGAAGCAAGTTGAGCGTGAACAGCTTGGTGTTCCGGCAGGCTATGAGGCGTTGAGGCGCTTGCATCAGGATCTGTCGGTTTGCTCGAGGATAGAAGCCTCGACCTTGCGAGAAGAGATGTTGAGATACCAACCCCCTGCCTCTACGAAGGATCGTCCTTTGGAAGTGTTTCGCAGCGTGCAGGTTGAGCTTGCAAAGTATGGTCGACTTGTTGCTGCGTTCCCAGACCTTGCGTTGAGTGAAGCGGATCAGAGCATGATTGTATTGAAAGGTCTTGATGCGGAGGTGAAGAGGTACATCTTGTTGCATGCGAAGATTGACTCCATGAGTGAGCTTGAGACTGCGATCAAGTTCTACGACGCAAACATCAAGATCCTTACCTTCGCCGATTCCGGGCGAGGTCGAGACCGCAGGAACAACAACGACATAGCGAATCCGCTGAACTTCAAGGGCGATGGAAAGGGGAAGGACAAAGGGAAGGACAAGGGGAAAGATAAAGGAAAGGACAAAGGGAAGGACAAGGGAAAGGACAAAGGTCGCTCAGGAAAGGACAAGCTTGACAAGAAGGGAGAGAAAGGTGGAAAGGGGAACGCTACTCAAGACCCTGGGAAAGGGGGCGGTGGTAGCTCTGGTAGTGACCCAAAGCACGACAAGCGTGCCAACGTGAAGTGCTACAACTGCAATGAATTGGGGCACTATTCAAACCGATGCCCTAAGAAAGCGGCCAAAGGTGTGGCGGCAGCAGCGACGCTTCTCGAACCGCAATTGGCGGCTTTGACCTTGGAGGGCCCGCACGTGTTTGCAGCGGCAGTTGGTTGCGAGTTCTTTGATATCGCTCAGGGAGATTCCGACAATGAGTCGAGCTTGAGCGATGGTGATTGGGAAGCCTTTGGAAGGTCGTGGTTGTTGGAGAGTTCAGAGGCCACAGTTGAGCTTGGAACCTCGCAGCTTGGAAGCCTAGAGACCCCCGTTGAGCTTGAGAAGGCCCCAGTTGAGAGTGGAACGTCGCAGCTTGGAAGCCTACAAACCCCCGTTGAGCTTGAGAAGGCCCCAGTTGAGCTTGGAACGTCGCAGCTTGGAAGCCTAGAGACCCCCGTTGAGCTTGAGAAGGCCCCAGTTGAGCTTGGAACGTCGCAGCTTGGAAGCCTAGAGACCCCCGTTGAGCTTGAGAAGGCCCTGTCGACGCTTGGTGAGCATGGATTGAGTGAATTTTATTTTCATGACATGAGCATGGCAGCCCCGCATGTGACACATGGTAGCAGCTCTGAAGCCATGGACTGGTGGTTGCTGGACTCCGGAGCGTCAACGCACCTGATCAGCGAGGAGACACTGCAGCATGTGCAAGTGCTGAGCCTGAGTGAGCATGTTGGTAGAGACTGTGTGACTGCCACGGGTGCTTCCATAGGGGTTCAGAAGAGTGCTGTGGTTCGCGTTTGCTTTGCCGTGGAGAGATCCAGTCCTATCGTCGTTGAGTTCGAAGCCCTGGTTGCACCTGTGCGATTTAATCTCCTGAGCCTAGGACGACTCCTGAATAGGAACTGGACAGTCTCTTTTGGCCCCCATCTCCACGTGCAAGCTGGTGGTTTTAAATTTAAGGCTGTGTGGTCCAACAACTGTTGCTGGTTGCAAAGTCATGCGGTGGCACGGGCCTGTTTGGTGTCTCAAGAACAGAGCGCAGCGCAGCAGATTGCAGACCCCTCGTGTACGAGGCCTTCCGCAGCCCGAGAAGATGGCCTCCTCCAGCGAAAGCGAAGTGGAATGGCGCATGGAAGGGAAGGACAAAGGGAAGCTGGTCCGGAGAGTCGTTGCGACTCAAGCGGCCTCAATCTCGGTGGGAGAAGAGGACTTCGAGGAGAGCACCCGGTTGGCCACAGCTACGTCCACGGAGACAGAGGGCGCAATCCTCTTGGTGCCCGCGGATGCCGCGTCCCAGGTGGTGTTGAAGCCGGGCGAGATCGAGACCCCGGGACCCGCCAAAGTTCCTCAGCAGAAGCCCATGCCAAAGAAGCCGAAAGTGAAGAAGATGCCCCAGAAGCCCCTCGTGAAGAGAATGCCAAAGGCAGCGAGCTCTTCGTCGACAAAGAGGACCCCCGTGAAGCTGGTGCCTCGTTCCGATCGCCAGCAGCCGTGGTTGACGTTGTGGAGTGCAAGTTCAAGGGCAGTGAAGAAGCAGAAGCTCAAGGAGAGCCGCATGACGTCAGCTGCAAGGTCCGATTTGAACCGCTTTCGAAAGGAGAAGAAGGGCCCAGAGAGGCGAACTCTGGAGGAGCACCTCAAGGAGCATTTTTTGCAGTGCCTGGACCGCAAGGCCTCCTACACTGTGACGACCATCTCCGAGAT